TTTTTTTTTTTTTTTTTTTTAGGTTTTAAATTTTATTTTTAAGAATAGCTGTTAGAGTCTCAAGGTTCAGAAGCTTAAAGGTACAAAAGAGTAAATACTTTTGAAACATTCTCTCCCAAGCCTACCCCTGGCTATCTCGTTTTCTCACAGTGGCATCCAATGTTACCAGTTTCCAATATTCTAGGCAAATAGTGAACTACCCATTGGGTGATAAGGAGTCCTGGTGGCGCAGTGCTTAAGTGCTGAGCTGCTAACTGTAAGGTCAGCAGTTTGTACCCATCAGTTGTTTCGCTGGAAAAAGATGACGCAGCCTGCTTCCATAACGATTAGAGTCTTGGAAGCCCAATGGGGCAGTTCTACAGTGTGCCCTGTAGTCTCTTGTGCGTGTGTGGGCGGTTCCTCCTCTTAGTGTATCTTGCCCATCACTTCCTCATTCTTTTTCAGAGACCTAGAATTCCATTGTAAGAATGTCTTGAGTGGTTTATCTTGCCCTCTACTGATGGACTCTGGCTGTTCCCAAACTTGCTGTTACAGTGTTAAGTGCTGATGACCTTGTGCGTGCATCATTTGGCATATATACAAGCATTTCTGTGGGATCAATCCTCAGAAGGGGAACTGCTGGGCCCAAGGTGGTGGCACTTGTAGTTTTGATGGGTTTTACCTTATCCCACATGCTTGTGCCTCTATAAATGTGTCCTCTCACCTGCAGTGGGTGGGACTATCTGGTCCCCGTACCTTGTATTTTATCAAACTTTTTGCTCTCACAAATCTGATAGGTAAAGTTATCCTAATACGGTTTTAATTTGCATTTCTCTGAGATTGAGCATTTTTCTCAAACTCAAGAACAGCTGTAAATCTCTTTTCTTGGCATTGCCTGTTTATAAATAACCCCCGCCCCCTTTTTTAAAAATTGGGCCATTGATCTTTTTCTTATTGATTTATAGGAGCTTTTTTTTTTTTTAATATTAAAGACTTTAGCCTAAATCTCTGTACTATGAGTTGTAAATATTTTTTTCCATGGCTACTCTTATTAACATGTTGCTGCTGTTATTGTGTGCTGTTGAGTAGATTTACTTCTGTAGGATACTGCCTCGGAAACCCAAGGAGGGGTCGCTAGGAGTCGGGTATGACTGCACGGCACATAACAACAACAACAACAATATATAATGAAAATAGTATATATGGTTTTTTGTGTAAAATAATTGCAAGACATGTTTGGTATTGTTCAGGAGTTCTATCTTTCTACCCGCTTTATTTATGAGTTTGCTGGAGAGGCAAGCAGTGCCCAGGCAGTCTGCCCAGGCCTGGCTCTCTGCCTGTTGCTGTTGTTATCAGGTGCCGTTGAGTCGGTTCTGATTCTTAGGGACCCTGTGTATAGCCAAACAAAATGTCGCCCACAATCTTCACATTCGTTGCTATGTTTGATTCCATTATTGCAGCCGCTGTGTCAATCCATCTCATTGAGGGTCTTCCTCTTTTTTGCTGTGTCAATCCATCTCATTGAGGGTCTTCCTTTTTTTTGCTGACCCTCTACTTTACCAAGCATGGTGTCCTTCTCCAGGGAATGGTCCCTTCTGATACCATGTGCAAAGTATGTGTGATCCTTGCTTCTAAGGAGCATTCTGACTGTCCTTCTTCCCAGACAGATTTGTTCATTCTCGTTCTTCTGGCAGTCTGTGGGTGAATTTCACAAATGTGATTTTGGGCTGAAGAGTCACAAAATAATACGTGCAGAATGATCCAATGTATTAGAAGTTTTAAAATGTGCAAAAAACCCGGTATTAAGGATGTGTACATAGGAGACAAAACTACAAAGCAGAAAATAAAAGACATTGTTATTCCTGAAATCAGGAGAGGCCCTGGGAGGAGTGAGAAGGTGTGATGAGAGCGGAGAACATGGGGCTTCTGGGGTGTAGGTGGTACACTAGTTCTTGACCTGAGTGGCGGTTACACAGTGGTCAAGTTATAATTATTTTTCTTTCTTTTTTTAATTGTGATTTGGGTGAAGGTTTACAGAGCAAATTCACTTTCCATACAGTGGTTCACATAGACTTTGTCTCATGACATTGACCAGTTTACCACAATGCAACAGCTCCCCTCCCAATTCTTCCCCATAGTTACCTCTTCCCTGTGTCCATCTCTCCATGCACTCCTGCCCCCTGAGCTGTCTCCACATTGTTCTCCCTCTCTATCAAGGATCTCCTACATAGATTCCCCTCCAAGTAGATGACAGTGGTAGCTGGCCACCATCTAGTTCTTCTGGTCTCATAGTCGTATAGGCTGCAGATAGCATGGTGTACCAGTCGCTAGGACTAATTGTTTCCATGAATTTTGGTTTTCTTCATTCTTCTTTGCTCTGGTTGAAGAGAGACCCATTGTTACATCTAGATGGCAGCTTGCTAGCTTTTAAGATCCCAGTCGCTACTTGCCAAAGTAGGAGGTGGAACAATGTTTTATACAGTATGTTATGCCAATTGAGCTTGTTGTCCCCTGCGACTATGGTCCCGAGCCCACAGGTTCAACTACTCAGTCCCTCTGGGTAGCTGGCTGTGACCAAGCCGTGCCCACAACCTTGCCCCTTGTCAGCTCTACTATACACCTGGGAATTCTGATCATTCACATAAACTTATAGGACCATTGTCTTCCAACCCTATATATATTCTTGGATACACTCCCCATTTCATAGACATATCTAATCGTTTAGCCTGTCCACCCATCTATCTATCCACATACCCATGATTGCCTTCACTGACAATGCAGTACTGTATGTGCAAAAGGGTTGATATTGTTGTCTGTACCTCCCATGTACCTCTCTATGTCTTTCTCATCCTCAATGCTGCCATATTGGTCACTCACATTTGGTACATTGCCCTTCTCTTCACCCAAATCCATACTTATCTCTATCTAACAGCGTTCCCTCCCCTTCCCTCCTACCCCTGGTAACCAACAAAGAAAATTTCCTTCAATAGATAAACCTTTCCTTAACTTTTATGATAACGGACTAATACAATATTTGTCCTTTTGTGATTGACTTATTTCACTCAGCATAATATCCTCCAAGTTCATCCACGTTATGTGGTGTTTTGAAGATTCTACATTATTCTTTAGTGTTGCAAAGTATTCCATTGTGTGTATGTACCATAGTTTGGTTATCCATTCCTCAGTTTATGGACACATAGGTTGTTTCCATCTTTTGGCTATTGTAAATAGTGCTGCGATGAACATGGGTGTGCATATATCTGTTCTTGTCGTGACTCTCACTTCTTTAGGGTATATACCTAGTAATGGAATGGCTGGGTCAAATGGTATTTCTAATTCCAACTTTTGAAGGAATCGCCATACTGCTTTCCACAATGGTTGTACCATTTTACAGTCCCACCAGCAGTGCATGAGAGTCCCAATCTCTCCACAACCTCGACAGCATTTGTTATTTTCTGTCTTATTGAACTTTGCTCCTAGTGCTGGAGCAAGATGGTATCTCATTGTTGTTTTGATTTGCATCTCTCTTATAGCTAATAATCATGAGCATTTCTTCATATGTTTGTTGGCCGCTTGAATATCCTCCTTGGTGAAGCGTCT